GTCGGTAAATCAGATAAATTTGATTTCTTTTTTTGCATTTTTTTATTTTTTATTTGGGGTTTTTTTTTTGATTTGGACGATGAGCGCAAATAAAAGTAACAAATAAAAGTAAAATAATAAAGCAAAAAATAAGTGCAATATATGGAATCAGCTTTATTAAAGAAATTATTATCGCTATCATTATCATTATGCTATATTATTAATATCATCGGGATTGATATATTAATGATCCGAAGTCATCACCCGGACTATTACATGATCTTCCGGAGCAAAACCTTGTACACATTTACGGTATGCAATTTTGTCACTGCAGCCTTTCGATTTTAATCGGCCGTAAGATGTAACAATATCCTTTTTAAAAAAATTTTTTCTAGAAATGTTAATCAACGGTTTCTCAATGACTGCCAGGCCAAATTAGTAAAAATTTTTTAATTCAACGAACTTATAGAATTAAAAAAAAAATAATGATAATAAATTTAATTCAGTAGTTAACGAAACCTTTGCTTAAAATATTAACATTTCTATTTGTACACGGACAATATAAATATTAAACCACCTTTTGGCTTCTAACAAAAAAAATTTCTTGTGAAATTTTGGTATAGGCTATAACTTGTCCAATCTCAAACCTACCCTTACCCTAACCATAAGCGAGGGTTTAATTTTTCGTTTGTAAAAATTGTTTTGACTATGTTACACAAAATTTTCATTCAATCTAATTATCTGAACGATCGCCCTGGTACACATTTTCTAGGTACATTATAATAATGGAACTCAAAAAATTTTTTTATGTCACGAACTGATCAAAAACTGCAATAATATACTTACTTCTGAAAGCTATTTTACATTTTTTGAATTTGCAATGCTGTAAATCCAAGAAAACATTATTAGTAAATATAATTATCGCGTTTTTGAAATCGATTAAGATACAAAACGCGTCAGCTAGAGTTTGGATCCGAAATCAGTGTCCAGCTATCTCTAGCATCTAAAATAGTGCTAGTGATATAACATAATCTAATTCGACTGGACTTGTTTTAATTCTATAGGTTTATAAAATAAGAGAAATTTATGAGTTTAGTTGTTTCGTGATATCGTTAGAGCTATTTAGGATGCTAGAAATAACCAAACACCTTGATCCGAATTTAATAATTCAAATAGGTACGAATTTTTTAATATTTCAGTATTTTGGAATTTATCACGAATTGGTCAAATTAATAATATTCGGATTTATTATTATGATAAGTCGCATTTATAAATCCAAATCAAACTCTAGCAGCTACTAAGATACCACTATATGATCACTATAGCCTCAATAACGTCATTATTATTATACTACATATCGATATGTATTGGCACTAATATATATTTGATACAAGATTTTTTGAAAGGAAATTTTAACTATATATATATAAAAAAGTCCCGCCTTTTTTGCTTAGTCGATAGATCAACAATCTCCAGGTAATTAAAATAAGAGATTAAATTATTTGAAAATATATACAAATTATAAGCAAAAGAATACAATTATTTATCTTCATTTAAGCTATAACAGAAATGAATTTGGACGCCTAAGTTTTTTGTTCTTAAATATCTTATCCTCGCAAAGTTTCGTTTCAAAATTTATAAGACTCTCGAGTGCTTAAATCTGTCATTTCATTCTGTGCGGAGATAAGCTAACACCTGGGCCGACTAATTGCCTCGATTGTAAGGTTGGCAGGAATTATTATGTCCTTTAGGTTGTTTCTCAAAGTCAATGGTGGCCTAAAGAAGAAGCAAGCATACATATAAATAATAAAATAGTTGAGGTGTCATCAGATGTTTAAACGATTACCTTTCCAGAAGCTGATACACTGATTGGCTCTTTAGGTGCCTTCCCTTTACCTTTTCCTTTACCTTTTCCTTTACCTTTTCCTTTACCTTTTCCTTTTCCTTTACCCTTAGGTTGTTTTGGATAACATTGAGGTGCTGTAAAGATCTCAGGTGGTGGTTGTTCAAGCCCGCATGTATCATAATTCAAACTCTCAAATCCGGGGTATGGACTAACGCTACAGGGGGTGCTGCTACACAAAACATTATCAAATTGCCTTGACTGTATATTGACATGCTCATCTCGTCGACAAACATCCTTACAAGGTTGATCACAAGGTTGACAAACATTATCACAAGGTTGGAAAACATTATTAGAGGGTCGACAGCCATTTTTTGGTCTATTGTCGATTGTGGCCTAAACATGAATAAACATATATTAGAATAATAAATTATTGAAGCATTGTCGTATATTAAATACATACCTTTCCAGATGCCGATACGCTGATTGGTTGTTCTTTAGGCGCCTTTACTTTACCTTTACCCTTAGGCGCCTTCCCTTTACCTTTACCTTTAGGTATTTTTGGACTTTCACAGCATTGAGGTATTATGAATGTTTCAGGTGGTGGTGGTTGACCAATTCCACATGTACCACAATCCAAATTTTCAAAGCCGTTGTAGGGAACAAGCGGAATATTACTACGACTTTTACTTTTACTTTTGCCTTTACCTTTACCAATATTTACTTGAGAATCTGCGGATACTTCGGCTTTTACAGGTTGGCAAGCTGGTGGTCTGCTTTGTCTTTTTTGATTGTCCTTGTTCATAATAATCTTATCTGTGCATGCTGATCGTATTTTGTTATGAGACTCGCGTAAATTAACACACAAGTTACCATAAACTGTATTAGGTTCATCAATAAAGAGCATAATAGTAAAAGTAATGATAAAGAACACATGCACCAGGCTAAATTTTGTCATATTTGAAAATAAATAAGGTGGGAGATTATTCAATATTGTGATAGAGTAAATGAACTAGAGCAAAGAATAGTGAACTATGAATAAAAATTTTTCGTTCTAATCCTTGAAAGGTGGTTTTTCTACTGCTTTTTGGATCAACTTTATAAACGTATGCCGATCAACAACCAAAATATCATTCAATGCAAAATGAATGATGCATTTTATATTGCTTTCGAAGTTGATATCAATGATTTTGAAAATGAATAACTTTACGATTGATAAATCAATTCATATGTTGATTTCTTGTTTTTACTGTAACAAATTACTCGACTTTATACATGCTACGCCATAAATATGTATAGCTGTCACTTATATTTAAAACAATGGTAATTTAATAAAAATAATCAATTTATATTGATAATGTAAATTAACATTATCACGAAATATAATAGTCAAATGATCTTTACACGTCTTTCAGAGACGAATTAAAAGGACCAACTCTGACCTTATTGTCTTTAAAGCCAATGCTGACCGTGTGCATAGAGATGCAAATGGCGCACCTGCTCTACTGATTAATCAGTTTTTATTACAGTATAACAAGGTTCGCATTATATAAGACGCAGTCGTAGTGAATTGGTGATGAATAGATAGTGAATTAGGTATTATGAGTGACCCTAACATCGCCCATAAAAAAATGTCATTGATGTCACAAAGTAATCATGATTACGAAATTAAATGTTCGCTTATACATTAATAACAAATGTAAGAGTGATATTGCAATAACAATAAAAAAAAAAAATAGTTTGTAGCAAATGTCACACCGAATAAGTCGTTAAAATTTTAATAGCAAAGAAAAGCAATTGGAACTTACCAAAAATGTCAAAATAGATTAGATTAAATGCGAAATAAGCAAAAATCGAAATTAATATGAAAATTAAACATTTACTTAATATTAGAATTACAGTATTATATTAAATATAAAATAAATTTAAATTCGAAAATGAAAAATTAACCTTTATTAAAAAATATTCGGAAATTTTGTGCACTGAGTGAAAGTCGCGTGTAGATCCGTGTAACAATATTATAACCTTCTCTAACTCAGGTTTATTTTTTTTTTTTTTTGTCCTGTCGTAAAATTATAAAATCTTTAACGTTAAACGATTATAATATATAAACTTTGCCCAATCACCACGCCACGTCTCTGGCGAAATTGCCTAAATTCTTGTCTCTCAATATGTAGCCCGTTAATTTTTAACCTATTGCTAAATTCCACCCAAAACACTACACAACTAAACCGAAAAGCATCACGAATTTGACAAAAAAAAAATAATAATATTTACAAAAAATTAATTATCTTGTGAGCTATTGATCAAAATTACATAACTTGGTACCATTCGATTCATCTCATTGAGGCAAATCGAATGATACCAAAATCATTTAATTCTGATCAATAGTTTACAAGATAATTAATTCTTTGTAAATATTATTTTTTTTGTCAAATTCGTCCCTTTTCCCAGCACCAAGCTCACATCATGAAAAAAAAAAAAAGTACAAGTGATAGTCACTTTATTAACATTGTATATAACTACTTCCAAAACAATACAAAAGTTTTGAGAAAGATCTAATTATTTAATTAAGATGGTATATTAAACTAACATCCGTTATTCATGCAAATCGTGTTACGTATTTGGAAAGAATAGGCTTTACCGTTACCGTCTATGTGTCGATTTCTTTACGCCCTTTCCACCTGACTACCAACGATAATTAATGACAAAATGATGATCAAATACATTTATTATGCTCTGATAATAATAGCAAAAATGTCGTAATTCATTCTCCAACTTAAATCGCTTTAAAAGTCTGACCTTTACCTCTATCTACTTTGTTGCTTTATGTATAAAGAACAGACTTGAATATATCAAATCTGCAGACATATTGTATTTAATAAACTAAACCCTCCATAAAGAATTCAAGACGCTGTTATTGAGGAAGATTTAATTTATCTCATTAGACCAATCTTCAATACGAAAAGTATAATGTCATTATTAAAATCCTTAACAGGCTTGTCTTTGTGATATTTTCATTTTCTAATAATATTTGTTTCTGATGTTGACTAGCCCATCATTCGTTTTATGGACGCTGGTGACATAATGGAACATGAAATGAAGCCGAACGAACAAGATCAAACAACGAAGCAA